TTAATAAAAAAAATTATTTTTATAAGATGTTGAATTTTTTTTTAAATCTTTTGAATAATTTTCTTTGAATGATAATAGGTACAAATTATAGAGAAAAAAAAAATTAATTGGGTTAACCTGCGGGTTGACCCGTGATCTGTGATGTGATGGGCGGGTTAGGGTCTGCCTTCATTGATCTGTGACCCGTTTTAATCCAACCCGTGTTGACCCGTTATCCGTTCTGACCCGACCCTAACCCGCTCGTTTGCCAAGTCTAGGTACAAGCATACCTGAACCCGTAATTTCCTAGAACATATATGAAAATCTAATCTAAACAGAAAAAGCTGACGGAAACTAATATCAAAAACCTGTCCCTCAGGCATTTACCAAACACTTATGGCGTGCCTTCTAAATCTTAAATCCTTAATTAACATCCAAAAAAAAAAAAATTCACATATCCTTTCTCCAATAAGACAATCAATCAGAACTTCATTCAAGTGGCCTTCAGAATCATTCAATTGTAAGGGACGTGCACCTTGGAATTGAATACCAAAGCTTCTTGCGCCACCACCTTAACTTTAATAAACTTAGGGTCCGTTTGATTGCCAAAAAATATTCTCCGTAAAATGTTTTTGGGCATTTTCCTATGTTTGGTGCACATAGGAAAATATGGTCAACAAAAAATATTTAGAGTCAACGGAAAACTTTGGAAAACCTTGGAGAACAACTTCCGGAACAAAAATTTGGAAATTGTTTTCCCTAAAAACACACGGGTCTATACCCGACTCGACTTTCAATCTCGACCGATCTCAACCTCGTGCACACTGTTTCTCCTTCCCGTTTGTTGCCTCCTACCAAATGCTTCAATAAGCTTTCTCCTTGCCACCCACCACCGTCACACACTACCCATTCCATTTCGCACGAATTGGACCGGAAATCCCAGTCATTAAAACTTTCACTGCGATTAAATCTCCATACCATGACCCCACTCACAAGATTAGGTCTAGAAACTCAGATAACCTTGAGATTCAGAGATTATTTGATATAACTGTTTAAAATTAATAATTAATGATTTTATGAATAAAAGTTTTTAAATTATTAATAATAAAAAATATTAGATATCAAATTATATGAATTAGTAATTATTAATTTTAAATGGTTATACCAAGTCATCCCTAGAAACTCAGGCAACCACAAAAAATAGAGTTCCCCTCTCAAATCGCAGAACCTAGAAATTCAAGCGATCTTGGGAAGTGTTTGAAGCTTTGGTGCCCCTGAGGAGGACAACTTTGCCAAAACCCATGAAAGACAATGTCCTCAACATGCTAGGTAGAACAAGAGACCCATTAAAATTGATTGAAATTTATTTTATCATGTATAATATAATTCTTGTTGCTGTCTTGAGTGCATAAGTTGAGTTTTTGGATTTTGAGACAATGAGTTTTGGAAGATTAGAGTCGCCTTTGGCAATCCACACCAGCTGTTCAATCTTTTGTCAGAGAGGGGTTGTGCTGGTAATCTGGTTGTGGCGTAATAATTAAGGTGGATGTGATAAAAGTGTCTTACTGCTGATCTTGAAACTGATATGTTGCAAACAAGGAATAGGTAGGGATGGAAGCAGGCTAAGATTTCAACAGCATGGCTGGGGGAAGTAGGAAAATGAACAAGTAAGCAAAAGATAAAAATGGGAGAAATGTACAGGATTGATAAGTGCTACCAGAATTGATAAAGATTATGTTAAATTTTAGAGTTTTTTAATTGCTTACCAAACAACAAAAAATATTTTCCTTTAATTTTTTTTTTCAAATTATTCCAAACATTAAAAAATAATCTAGAAAATATTTTCCCACTACATATTATTTTCCGCGAACCAATGGACCTTACAAAACTCTTGTATTCATAATGATTTATATGGTTTTGTGATTCACATTCACCTCTATGTTTAAGGAACACAAAAGGAAAAAAAAGGGGAATGGATTAGTGCCAAGGGACAACATGACTTCCCATTAAAGTAAATCATCTAATTTCTAAAAAATCATAGGAGTTAGATTATCAGAAAAAAAAAAAAAAACAGTACCTCACTTAATTTGAACGCTCAAGCACTGAAATGATTCTACAAGGTTGGTAAAAAAGAAGCTTTAAGAGTCTAACTAGGAGAGTTTCAACTATAAAATTTGTCACATATAATTTGATTCTCAAGGACTGATCAAACTGAAATCTCTTCACGTATCAGGGTATTGGTCACTAAACTTAGACAAGTTTTGGGAAGATAAATTAAGTAAAACAAGCTAAAGAAGATGGTGCTCTTCAATGTCGAAAGCGTCAAGATACTATGGGATACATGGAGCGTCAGAGGACTAATTATTCTAAGCCTTGTGCTGCAGTCTTTCTTAATTCTATTTGCACCATTTAGGAAACAAATGGGGGGAAATTCTGTTTTTATGAGTTCACTATGGGTGGCATATTTGCTTGCAGATTGGGTTGCTACATTTACTATTGGACTCATCTTCCGTGCTGAGAGTAATGATATCAAGGCCCTATGGGCACCCTTTCTTTTGTTACATCTTGGTGGACCAGACACCATTACTTCCTTCTCTCTGGAGGATAATGAGTTCTGGATCAGGCACTTGCTTCAGCTCATGATACAGCTTTGTGCCTCTGTCATTGTTATCCTTCAGTCAATCAGACATAACAAGCTTTTGCTCCCAACTCTCCTGGTGTTCATTGTAGGCGTAATCAAATATGCAGAGCGGAACATTGCTTTGTATCGTGCAAGCTTTGACCATTATGGAGATAAGAATCCAAATGTTTCCTTTCTAGAAAAAACTGCAGCTACTGAGTCTGAGAGCGAGAGCCACTATCTTGGAATCATGTTAAGAAGGGAATTGGGACCTCATGGCACCCTCAAGAATCTACTTGTTGGGCCTCTTCTATCTCCATTTCGGCGCAACTTTACCAGAAGAGCCTTTCTTAAAAGACAGTCAAGAGACGTCCTCAATATAATGGAGATTGAGCTAAGCCTCTTGTATGAAGCTCTTTACACAAAGTTGCCCGTGGTTCATTGTAAGATTGGATATGTTTTCCGGATCATTAGTTTGGGCTGCACCTTCGGAGCCTTGATGTCATTCATGTTAATTACAAAGCACTACAAGTTGGGGAAATTCGATGTCTGGCTAACCAATAGTTTGTTGATTTCGGCCATAGCTTTGGAGTTCATATCCATCGGACTGCTCTTTTTTTCAGATTTTAATTTACTGGATCACTACTATTGGCAGGGTAATCGGGAGATCAAATTTCTGTGCTGGAAAGTGGAGTTTGATCATATGAGTACTGGAGTCAAGAACCGACGTTGGTGGTCCAAAAAAATCTACCTGTACAACTTTCTAACCAATCATTTTAGTGATTGTCCAAGTTGGTTGAACAAATTGGCTAATTTTCTTTCCATCAGGATTAGTAATTTGAAGGTTCGAACTTTAGAAGATCAAGAATGGCGCTTCATTTTTGATGAACTGATAAGGAAGGCTCAAGAAGCAGAGACGGTAGAAGCGGGCAAACGACTTTGTCTACAAAGAGGTGATGGAATTCTTGATGATGATGGGAATCTCATCTGGAGCATCAAGGAGTTAGATTACACAGAAAGCCTTCTAACATGGCACATAGCCACTGAAATCTGCTTCCGAGTAGACCAGAATACTGCATCTGACAATACGAAATACAAAGCAATATCTAAATTACTCTCTGATTATATGCTCTACCTTCTAGCGATGCAGCCCGCTCTGATGGCCAGCGTGTCCATTGGTTCGAAAGGGGAGTGCAAACGAGCATATGACGAGATGTGCAGACTAGCATATAACGATTTAAATGCTTTCTTTGTAGGGCGCGATTTGAATGTGCAAAGTCTCGCCGAAGCTATGTTTAACGACGAAGCCCCAACGAGCTACGTCTTGCAAGTTTGTGGTTATGAAAGAACATCCCTTATACGTGGTGCACGTATGCTTGCCCATCAGCTGATGGATCAGAACAGCGGCTTTTCGTGGGAGTTAATGAGCAAAGTTTGGGTTGAATTGATGTGCTATGCTGCTATCAATTGTAGGCCAAATGTGCATGCACAGCAAACAAGTAAAGGTGGGCAGCTCCTCACTTTTGTTTGGTTGTTGATGAATCATTTGGGCCTGGGAACTCAATTTTCAACTGAACAACTTTCACAGACGGGAGGGACTGAACTGGGGCAAGACCAGCCATAACAGAAGGATTGAATCTTCTGAAGATAGATTAATTCAGGTGTGCCTTATCTATTCGCCTTCTTAAATGTGTACTTAATAACGCTTTTTATGTTTTAAAAACATATGTATCTTATTCCGGTTTTTATGTGTGTTTTGTGTGTTCATGAGTTCCAAAATTTAGTTTCTGTAATTGTGTGTGTTTTGAGTACTGCTTGGACCCACTTAATAGTATTCTTTTTGCAGATCAAAAAATGAACATGTGTATCTTTGATTTGGTGTTTAATATTTGAAGGAAATCTTATCATGTAATTCTTATTTCAAGGAGCCATGTTTTGTGCTTAATAGTAGCGGTAGAAAATTTTGCGAAGGAAGGAAATTTTTTTCTTAAAAAGAAACTGACTGAAATTATAATTGATAAGTTGAATTCGACCGAGTTTTAAATTTTTTTAGCTTGAGTTTGGTTATAACCAAATGAGGTGAGTTTTGGTTATTGAGGTCCAAAACCAAAGACTCGGTACAACGCGGAGTGTAATCAAATTTTTTTTTTACCTCCTTTTTTAATTTAATGATTTTTAGGTCTTCCAACCCATTCTCAAATTTTTGTGCCTTTTTTTAATATTATTTTTTAAATTTAATGCTTTATGAAAATTTTTAAGCCTTCCCCTCCTATTCCCGCCCGAGTCCACTCCAAATATTAGCTAAATTTAAATTTTTATGTTTAATACAAAATAACAAAAAATTTAAGCTTTGTTTATTATGGTTGTAATTTTAGAATTTTCGTTTTGATTTTTATAAATTTCACATCTCAGAACAAAAAACTTATTTATTTTCACAAGTTTTTTCAACATATTATTAATTATAATTGTTAGAGAAATAAGAAAAAAATAATTGTAATATTATTAATTAAATAAGTAAATATTTGTACTTGTCAATATTTAAATTTGTTTTAAACAAATTTTAAACTTTTATTTTTAATTTTAGTTTTCATTAGTTGT